AATTTACCTGCTCAATGATACATATATTGGTAATGTAGCCATCGCCAAAATCTGAAAAAAAAACAAAACCTATTAGCTATTTGTTGTTGATAAATGTTGTCTTAAATATCTATAGGAAACTTTAATGTATTGAGACTCGTTAAATAATATAAGTTCAGGTAACGTTAGTTAAGGTCAAACTAACAGGAAGCGATATCTATGGTCAACGCAGAGACAATGGAAAGATTCGATAAGCTTTTTTTCGTATCCATCGAGCAGCGACAATGGCGCGAAGTCTTTGTTAGATAGCGAACAAATCACCAAAGATAATTGTCCATTTGTACAGAGGATGCATCTGCGTATATTTTAAATAGAATCGAAAAGCTTATTGTTAAAAAAAATTGCAATTTGTTTTGAAATGACAAAAGCTTCTACTTCAAAGGAAAGGCATATAAACCGAATTAAACAAAACGAAACTTTATTTGAAATGCACAATATGTAATCTTACTACATACTTACTATGAATATTATAAATGCGAAAGTTTAGATGGATGGATGTATGTTTGTTGAAAGGTATCTCCAGAACGGCTGAAGGGATCTCGATGAAATTTAGCATATATAACATAGTCTGGAAGAACACATAGGCTACTAATTATGTTTTTTTTTAAATTCCGAGCCCGACTGAAATGAATCCAGAAAGACTCGCGAATATATTCAAATCGTGTGATTATAAGACAGAAGTCCGTAAAATAAGCTTTTAGTAGTAATTACTATATCATCAATATATTATACAACTATTATTCCATATCAACGCACCCATTAAAATAAAAAAGAATAATGCAAATATGAAGTATTGAACCCATTAGTGTTCGTGAAGAATAGGGAACGTCACAATAGCCCCTAGAGAAGGGGAATAAAATCAATATTTCTAATACGTTTTAGAAACGCTGACGAATCTGCAAACATCCCCTGCCCTTATTATTAAGACGCACCCCATGACTCACTTTAATAAAGAAGGATTGGTTCTATATTTTTTTTATACTAGAAGACAGTTATTGCCAACCTAAAAAATCAACTCTGAAAAACCAAGTGATTCGAAACTATTTTAAACAAACTTAAGTGCGCATCGACTTTCGTTACTTCAAAACTAGTCCTTCGTTGTACGCATATTAAAATTTAAAATATATATTTAATTAGTACTGACCTGAGTAAAGTTTACAGCTAATAACAATTATATGTTATTAATTCCATAGCCAAAGAATAACGATTTCACTTATAATTCAAATTCAAATAACCGATACCGAGTAAATTAAGTACAAAAAAGTCCGGAAAAAAAACACAACCATAAATTAAAAAAAAATACGCGCCAAATTTCTTGGTTCAACTTTTTAACGTCACACGTGCGCGCGCCGCGTCACTCATTTGTCTATGGACGAAAATGGCCGACGGTTTATTTTACTCGTTCATTATTATTGGGTCTCTGCATGGGGCGAGTAATATAATTTGGGGTTACATGTGAATTATTCGATCCGCGCATGCGTGGTGGTCGCGGCGTGTAAGTAGTAAATTGGTTACGCATATAGAAATAGCAATTTCGCGTGGGGTAAGCACTCTTTAGAGAAATAAGTTAAGAAGGAGATAATTCAAATAGATATCGTCGTTCTGTGTCGCCAATGACAATAATTTAAGGATAGATCGAAAATGAAAGAAGTGGATTAGGGAATAACCTCCAATATTAATTGGAGAGACCATCTCGAGAAAGCTGTTTAGAGTTGGTTGATTGGAATTTAAGACTGTTAAATCAACTATTTAGATTCTTATATCCTTATAAGGGAGTTAACCTTTACAGTATAATGTAAATAAAAATTAATTTATTGATACACCATGTATGACTTTGAAATAAATTCACGGCTGAGCATTACTCTCTTAACAACTGAAGCTTACCTACACACAAAAAAGTTATTCCGGCACGCGTCTTGATATATTGCTGCTATACATTTTTTTTAATAAAAAGAGGCATGTAGAAGGCAACATGGCTGGGGTCCATAAGGGCTCGTCGCGCTCGGTGGAGCGCAAATCCTGCGACCTGCGCTTACTCCGGCCACTTGATGCAGTTCGTAGACTTGTAATGTTGATGTAAAAAACTGATTGTTGTTTTATGGAACAACTACAGAAATAGAGTTGATAGGTGACTTATTTCTGTATGATTATTACCTCATCTAACATGCATAATACATATACAACCAACTATTTATTTCTTGATGATAAAGAGACAAGCACTCATTTTACAAATTAGCTTAGCATCGACTTAACACAAATAACCCTCCATGTACTGTTTCACTACTTTTTAGCGTACAATTATAAAAATTATATCTTGAACTGAACAAACAATGTAACACTAGAATGATATTATCATTCCAAATTACTCTCTTCTGTATTAGGTGCTTACAATCTATACAAGGTTCTGTACCTGCTATCAATACTCGCACGCGCCAAACAAAAAGTTAACCCTTTAATGTAATTGTAAGAAAAATATCTAGAAGTTACGGAGCATAAGTAAATAGGGTGACCAACTGAAGAATAGGACAAGTCTACAAATCAATCGATATATGAGAATTTTATTTTTCCTTTTGTTAAAACCCGGATCTTGTAAGATATCTATTTGATATTTATACTACATTTTTTACGTCGTTCGTGTTTATTCCAATGGTAGGAAGTATAAGATGCGCATGACAAAGGGTACATCCCAAGAAAAATTAAATCACATACAACCTTGCAATTTATGTCTAATGCATTTATTTTCCGCATTAGCTCTAACGAGTGGCACGGAGTGTGTCTGCACCAGTTTTTGTGACGGTGAGTGTAGCGAGCACGCGCCCGGTCAGCGAACACATCGGATTGATTGTTTTTCTGGCTCTTAATTGTATGTGTTAGACATTAATAACATTTTTTACCAAACCTATTGTTTATGATCTCTCATACGTCACGAATGGTTACTTATTGTCGCTTTATTGCAGTTTTTGTAATTCTTCAATCAGTTTTATTAGAAAAATCTAGTTGGTTTATTATTACATGTCAATTAACAAGATTAGTTTAGATCAAATAATCTTTTTTTATTTAAATGTTTTTATAAGAATTATTTATTTTTGCATTGCTCGGGCTTCGACACACACTCCCTGTTGAAACAGACACAACCATCTCGAGGAAGATCTGAAAAAAAAACTTTGTTTTAGTGCATTCTTAACAACCTGGCAAAGATTATTCGCTCAATTAAAAATATGAAATAAATGTTTGCTTCCTGACTCACGTCAATACACACTTATCTCGTCAGATATAAGAGGTGTCCTGTTAATTTCAAGATTTCTACGAATTATTTCGGTAAAGCATTATGTACCTTCAGTCAGATCATCGTTATAGTACAGCAGTATATCAGGTACATAGATATTCTCCGGCAACGCCACGTCGCTGAAGCGATCTCTCTCGTCATACACCTTGTTCTGCTCCAGTGTGCGGTGGTACTTGAGAGGTTTGCCCAGATGGCGCCACGTGTAGGAGTGCATGTGCGCGTTATGCGGCAGATAACGCATCATTATTTGGTAGATAGTCTCCTCAGAGCACACCTCCAGCATAACAGATGAACCTGACAATTTTAATTTTCTTTACCTAAATTCCCTCTACTCTTTATACAAAGCAAAGCCCACAGAAGACTTTAAACGTAGACTTTTATACCATCAAAATAGCCTAACATTTTCCATACCATTTTGCTTTTTTTTAATAAAGTGAACTCGCCAAGCGACTAAACTGAACGTAGGATACATTTTATTATGTAGTATGATATGAAAAAAACGAACACACACGATTTTCTCACTTGTAAGTGTATTGGTGATCCTTATCGGTCTCGTCCTCGCTGTCAGCTTTCCTACAACAATACTGTCGTCTAACCACCAGGGCTTGGCGATCGGTCTCCAGCGAGTGGAGGGCACCACGGGTTGCTCAAAGCTCGGACCGTGACGCATGAACGGTATCCTTGATCCCACTATAGGGTGCACGTATGTTATCCAGTCTTCTGCTTTGAACCAGTGGCTGACGTCTTTACCGGCGTATGCTAGGATCGTCATAGCGAGCTACAAAATTGAAACGTTCAAATTGTAAATTACTTCATATAACAACCAAAAAGATTAATTTTTTGTTTATTATATACAACTGCACATTATGAAATTGTGAGTTGGAATTGGTTATTAGATTTTTTCCATATATTTGGTTGTTTAACAAGAACTTACAATTTATTTCTTATATCATCAAAAGGGCTGCGTGGATCTCGCTAAAATTTGGTGTGGCAGAGATGTTTAAGTTTTTTTTTCAATCCGCGCGAATAGAGTTGCAGGCGACAGCTAGTAGTAGCATTCTGAGTAGCCGTAAATAATGTGTTTACCCTTTTAGCGTCACAGTACTCGTAGCCCATTTTAAAACATCTACAGTACTCAATGCAGTCATCAGCACAATACCAGTTCTTGTTAGGACAGGAGCAGTCTTTTGGGCACTTGCAGTAACGGAACTGTTTTTCCAACCATGACGTCATATCCAACACCTTGCCGTTCAAAGACACCCAGCAATCGTTGGCTTTGTTGTGTATTGCGACCTCCGCAGGCGTGTAATACTCTTGCTTTGTATAAATCATTGTAAAACGTTCAAATAATTTTATTAAATTCTTACAAAATTACCATTGACATTATTGTCAATGGCTTCAATTGTCAATCTGACATTTAGATGTCATTATGATAAAATTTATTGTTTTAATCTTGAAATAGGTACAAAAAATTGACAAGTTAATCAATGAATGTAGAAGACACGAGAGGGGTGAGCCAGGACCTCGCTAAATGGGGGTCCGTAGTCTCAGCCTACCCCCCGGGATTACAGGCGTGAGCGATGTTTTAAAAAAGTTGACTGTAATATTTTTCTTATTCAAAAAAATGACATTTCCGGCCAGTGTGTAGGGAGTTAAAACATTAAAAAACACGAAATAAAACAAGTCTTTATATATTAGCAAATATAACTATGCCAATAATACCATCATTTGATTACCAAATTCTATTCCTTTGTTAGACAATTGTAAAAACGCATTTATTCACATTACAATACAAAGCAGAAATATAGATAAAATAAAAGCAAGCAGCAGTACAACAATAAACTATCCAACGGTTTGTTTGTTATCTTGTATAAAACATAACCTAATTTGGTACTTATGAATCACTTTTCCGTAATTTTTTAGAACAATATCTGACACTATTAATGCACATTTTATATATTATTAAAAAGAAACAAAGAACTATGTACCTATTGATTTTCTTGTAAATAAATTTTAAAACAATCTAAATGAGATCGGTACATTATAAATTTAAAAAATGCCGATATTAAATTTTATGAAATTTTACTTCTATAAATATAATAAAGGTGGTAGCATTGAAACAAATACTTTAGTGCCGGAGACTCTTATTGTTACAATTTAATTATAAAATAATTCTTGTCAAAGAAAAATAATTAATTTCAAATCTAAATTAAATATTTCACAACTTTTAACTAAAGTCTTACAACTTTTATAGAAACATACAATTCACTATATTAAAACCACAATTTTCAACATTGTTGACCTTGATTCATCAGAACAATATAAAGGTACGCATTTGAAATAACTCAGGAAGTAATCCACAATTCATAATTTTTTCAATTGGCAACACTTTCAAAAAAAAATTAAAATGTCACCTTGACAGCTGAGTAGAATATCCCTAGAATTTAGCATTTGAATAGTGAGAACATGCGTTCTACAAAAGCAGAGGTCATGAGGAAGGCTGATGCGGGGCTTGTGAGAGATGTTTGACGATGTCGACCCAGTCCCAGCCGCGTGGCTTCTCCCCGGCGCGCCCTATCTCCGCGCGGTCCCACGCTCGACGCTTCTGCGCTTTTGTTAATTGCTCCTTTTTCTCTGGTTTCTTTGATTCAGTCTGAAATACAATTGTTTTGTTTTTCAAGTGTGTGATCAGTTGCAGAATGCAAAATATAAGCAAGGAGATCTATTATATACAAAATATACATATAAACTAACTCAAACAATTCATGAAGAAAACTTTTATATGTTCACTATGATGTAAAAAAGGTAATGTTTCATCTAATGTACCTGATCATCTATAGCTATCTTCTCCACTCTGGCCACCACAGCCTCCTCGGTCTGCTCGGACAGGATCTCCGCAACTTTCTCTTTTAAACACTCAAATAATGTGTATGTCATTGCACATCCCACCCACTGCTCTGCCTCCGCATCCACTATTGTCAGAATTTTTTCTTTAACCGAAGGTAATCTGGGAAAAATTGATGGATAGATTGTTAGTTACAACTGAAACAAATGCAAATCCTCCTTCCCATCGAATCATTATGAGGAAAGGGAAGAGGACTATAATTATGCCTTCTGCACACACAGCCTCAAACAAGTGCAGATTTCCAATTACCATGATTCAATGAGTCAGTAAGGAGAAAGTGGTACATAAAAATACTTACAAATGTTGATTGTAGAATATTTCTAAATTGCATTTAGGTTTTTCTGTTGGATATGTGGGTCCCCATTTAATTTCCAATACAAAAGATTTGTCTCCTTCAATATACTGGAAACATAGAGTTAAATCATATTTATTTTACAGAAATAAAAAAAGGTGTGGCAGCGCTGTGAAAAATGTAAATCTTATTTACAGCTAATATAGGTCTAATGAAAATTCAGTAAAATTTTACTGAAGAAGTCAAAATAAATACCTTGTATTGATAGGTTGTGGCATCAACTTGTTTAAAATTCTCGTCTCCTTCGTATATAGACTTCAGAACTTCAATTTCCTCTGCCTGCTGCTCTGCATCTTCTGACATTTTGCTTACACCAGACTGAAAAATATTAAAAAGTAAGGTAATAACTGACTAAGAATTTTTACGGAACGTTTAGGGCAAAATTAATGGTTAGAGATTAATTTTTCATCTTATATAAATAAAGTATATTGTAAAAAAAACAATATAAATATAATAATATTTGAAAACTTGTTAAAATGTAACCTTTCTACAACAAAGTTAACATATTTTTATCTTAACAAATATTTCTTGGTACTTACAGTTAGATAATTCGACGATTTAATAGTACCTGTTATGTTTTTCTAAATGTAGTTAAAAATATTAGATTTAGTGATTATTTATATGCAAAATATATAAAGATATGAGAAAAACTACGAATGTAAGGTTATGTATGGATATTTGACAGATAAGTTATCAAATACAGCGAGAAGAAAGTAACAGCTGAACAACTGGCAATTCTATTAACTGTCAGTCAGCTGATAGATGACAAACATAGAGGTTTAATGTTCGTTTAACAGTTGCACCTTATTCCGTCTTTTCTTAACAATGTTTTTTAGCTTAACAATCTTTTTTAGTAATAATCTCCATAAATCTCTCTATTTTTCTATTCCAAAATTTACTAAGATTGTGCATCTGTTAACCAATAACAGATGCACAATCTTAGTAATTTTTTAACTTGCCAGTGACAAAGATGGTTAAAGTTGGCAACCCTCCCTTTCAATATTTTGACAAGAAAGATAAGAGCTCAAAATACGTTATATGAAATTTAATTTACGAAATCCTACTTCAGTTACTTTAAACTTGTGTTTTCTTTTTATGTATTAAGTTTGAAGTATTAAGTTAAACAGAATTAAATCTGCCATAAACAGGGATATCACGAATATTTAAAACAGAACAATGAACATTCAAAAGTGTGAATGTAAAAAAAATCGACCACCCAACACTGGACGATGCTTCACCTGTTCATCGAATTCGCAAAAGAAGGTCCCAGTCAATTTCAAAGTTCCTAATTTACCTTCTTCGTCACGTCGTCCACCGACAGATAAGAACAAAAATAATGAAGCTGCTAAACCCGAACTGAACAGAGACGTTAAGAAAAAGGTATGGACATTATCTGATTTCGACTTGGGAAAACCTCTCGGTAAGGGAAAATTCGGTAATGTGTATTTAGCTCGTGAGAAGGAATCTCATTATGTTGTTGCCTTAAAAGTGTTATTTAAAAGTCAAATCATGGATTCAGAAATAGAGCATCAAGTCCGACGCGAAGTTGAAATTCAGTGTAGACTACGTCATCCTAATATATTGCGCATGTATGGATATTTTCACGACGAAAAGAGAGTTTATTTCATTTTAGAGTATGCAAAATATGGGGCACTTTATAAATTGTTGAAGGACCAGGAGAGATTCGACGAGAGAACTGCAGCCATCTGTGTGAGAGACTTGACCAGGGCTTTGCTTTATTGTCACTCTAAGAAAGTTATTCACCGCGATATCAAACCTGAGAACTTACTTGTTGGGTCTAACTATGAATTAAAAATAGCTGATTTTGGTTGGTCAGTACACTCACCTTCATCAAGACGTATGACTCTTTGTGGTACTCTAGATTATTTGTCTCCTGAAATGATTGAAGGAAAACCACATAGCTATCCTGTTGATATTTGGAGTCTTGGGGTATTATGCTATGAGCTACTGGTGGGATTACCACCATTTGATGCCAAAGATTCACATCAGACATATAAAAAAATTAGATATGTTATTATTAAATATCCTGATTTTGTATCTGAAAAAGCTAAGGACTTGGTAGGTAAACTTCTTGTAATAAATCCAGATCAAAGACTGCCGTTGACTCAAGTTTTGAAGCATCCTTGGATATTAGAAAATGCTCCAGAGGGTGCTAAACCAGTGTTTAGTAAATTGGAGCAAAAATAGATTTAATTTATTAATTTTGAAAGTAAACTCTAATTTGTTATGTTGTATACTAGCAAATTTTTGATTTTATATTTAAAATATTTTTGACATTCTGTAGCAAATCATAGATATATTGCCTTTTGTATTACACTATAACATTTAAAAATTTAAAGTTGACAAGGAAGATATATAATCAAAAAAATATATATAACTCAATTTTTCTTTAATTTGACTGATATCGGTTACTTTAGTATTTTTAATTATAAAAGTATGAAAACTTCAAACAACATGATAATTTTCATATAACTGAATGAATGATGTATATTTTCAAAGAATTGGTGCTTGTTGGAAAACAATGAGTAAAGCAATAGCTTTATTTAGGATATTATTCTAATACAAAAGACTTCCTAATTGCAAAAAACAACAAATTATATGAAGGAAATTTACCAGATTTAAATAAGTGGGGTTTTTTGTGTGACTACATGATATATAGTTTTCAAATATCTTGGCGGCTCTTATCTTTGCGTGAAATGCTGCACATAATTTTATGTGTAATGGGGCCTAGCTAATGTGAGATGACGCGAAACATGCCAATGACTGGGCCGCTGAGATATGTGAATAAAACTATATCATATATTATTAAGGTTGTATACATTATGGGATAAGGGATTTAAGAATATTCTTTAAATGTCTTTTATTTGACTTATTATAATATTGGGATTGAAGGGCATTTATTAATTAAGATAATTTCAGTGCATCGGTAAAATCTGGTGCTTGTTTATTGTTAGTTTGCACTGCTGGAACATTCACATAAACAAACTCTGAGAGAGATCTCAACTTATTTTATGTTAATTCTTTAGTTTGTATTTTATATTAAAGGTTACATTTACCAAAAATAAACTGCCTTGTACTTATTAGAAAATTTTGATGATTTATGCTTTTAGTGTTATACTGTTTATTTAACTCATTATTTAGTTATTAAAAATATTAATAGTCCGATATATGATATTATGATAAAAGATATTACTTGAAAAAATTAATTCCATTGACTACTATCAAGGATTCTTTAATTTTCATAACTTTGATACAGTTTTATTTTAAAAGAAAGTAGCTGGAACTACTTAAACAAGGTTCAGCATTATATAAACCAATGATTTTTCTAACCTTTTTCGACGAAGAAATAAAAACCCGTCGTCGGTTGTCGCCATAGCTGCAGTCGCTTAAATTATTCGAATCTTCGTGATTCTTTTACGAACGCTTTGTGAGTGCGACTAAGATTAACTTTTTTCTTCCATCAATGTCTTTGTACCTGTGATCTTTTCTATGTAGTTGCTTTTCATAAGCATTTAGAATATAGTCGTACTTGGATAAGCGAGATAGCACCATAAGCGAGAGTTATTGTCCGGTCCCCGACGGGCGACCTCCATATTAGAAACTCAGAGAAAAATATTGTGGTCTGTTGGACTTTCGCTTGTAGATGTAATGACTGATGTATGTGAAATATTTCGTTTTATATAATTTTTTAGACTGATGCGGAATTCCGCTTTTAATTTGACGCATCACATTACACAAATATTAGACTTGTAATGTAAGTTTCGTCTGAGTATAATTAAAAAAAATAATGAAGTAAATTATAATTAGAGAATAATAATAACGTAAATAAACTCTTTGTATTATTTAATGTTTTTTATTTTTATTAATATAATACAGATCCATGGCATATTTGTCGAAATGTGGATCTTTCTTAACAATGAAATGCCAATGACTAAGTTCACTTATAAATATCACCAAACTAATAAAATAACCAATAGCCAGTGCTATAAACGCTCCTTGGAGTTTCTTTAGATTCATCAAAGCTTTTATTTCTTCATCATTTGTATCCAACGTGTTAATACGATACATGGCATCGTTTGACCATTTCTCAAAAAGGCCAACTTCGACTATTCTTCTCAAGTACACATCTGCTAATGGTTTTAAGGGAGAGTTCTTATGAAATCCTATTGAAACAGGTATGTTAACCATACAATCGGACATTATGTGTAAATTTCTTTCCATCCGTGTATTACCCATATTAGTATCGTTGGTAACTAATAAATTAGTCGTGTTAATATCGATTTTATTGTTTTTCCTTTTAACCCTTAAGTATTTTAAAAAGTTTTTATTGTCATAGTAAGCGAAGTCTCCACGGACGACTCTTTTAACAGCGGCATCCGGGTCATTGATTATTTCGAATCTTTGACCGATTTTCTGGCCAACATCGTCTAGTGATTCCAGAAAGAATTTTTTAGTCTCTTGTCCCCATCCGCCGCATGTTATTTTGCTATCTACTAACTCTTTTAACGTGTCTATAGTTACTCTTGGTGTGGGGTTGGCTAATATAGCAGTCATGCTTGCTTTGTAGGATACAACCAGGAGTATGCAATAAAGCCAATACCAGCCAGTGAGTAAGCGAATCGACCAACCGGATGGTAATTTGGGTAAAGATACGACAAGTAACATTCCATAAGTGTAGAGAATGCTGTTCGTTATTTCACCAAACAAATATAAACCGCCAGCTCGAGTATCTGAAAAATATACAAGCTTGAAATATTGCATACGTAATTAACGCAACGTTAGTTTTTTTGCAGTCACTTGAGTTCAAAGCTAAAGGTTAAATGCGTTCATTTGAAAGTGCAATTTTTGTTTACCAAGTCCGGACTACTGAATAACAGTAAGAATATAAATACATTGTAACATATATACTTAGTTAAAATTAACCTAAAGTAAGATTTTGCTTTATTTTTTCCGTAGATCTATCCTTCGTTGTTTCTCCTCTAAAATCCATCAAGTGTATGTAATATTTTGCGAGGCCATAGAAGATAGAACCTGTTACTAACAGAACCATTAGGACAGCGATCCACATGTACAATCTGAAAAGTTAATAAGAAAATATTTATTTGGACAGACAGACAAACAAAATAATGAATTTTCGTTACGATATGGAGAATTAATTTAGAGCGATATACGTATAATATTACTTGAAAGGTAGTATCAAAGTTTTCCATGAGTTATCGGACATCGCTTCAGGAGTCAAGAAAGTCCAGCATTGAGAGGTGTAAGGTATACTGAGGTCAGTCATTTTAAGATAAAGCGTGGTGTACTGCAGGTTGCCAACTGCGATGTCGGCCTGACCCGTTACCATCTCGCCGAGGAGACCGGAATATGAACCGTTTGGTAGCTTCTGACCCCATTTGTTCTGTTCAGCGTCAGCGGATTGGTACAATTTGAGTTTGAAGTTCATTTTTGACGCTATTGTGTTTAGTATCTGGAAATAAAACTAATAGATAAAGTCCTACATGTAAATTTAATCGGTCTTGCTACATTTTGTCGGTTTTACCTCAATTTCAACGCCTCCAACTTTCTTCGTTTCATTTGACTTTGTGTTTACAACAGATGGAACATGTTCCAAATAGACAACGCTTAGCGTCTCTCCGTAAAGGTTCTTTGTTTTGTCTGCGAATAAGTCTGTATTGTAATGAAATTTTCCATTCCTCCATATCTCTATTCTTCGAGTTATCAAAACTTCTCTGATGGTATTTGGGAAGGGAACAGTGGAGAGGTCGAACCAGGTTTTATTCCGTGGAGCATTGTGGTATCGCAGGAATACGATGTTCACGATGCGTTTCCATAGATAATGTAAGCTACTTTTAAATAATCTGATGTCGTGTAGCATTATATACTTCGCTCTTGTATCCAAGAGACGGTATCTGAAAATTATATAATATTGAAAGTTTATACTATTATATACATTCGATTTGTATATAATGTTACTCTGAAAACTAAGTATTGTTATAATAAAAAAGGGGAAACGGGCAAGGGGTCGCTTAATGTTAATTGATCTGCTGCTATTAGTCTTTTGCAACACCAGAGGCAACGCAGAAAGACTTGCTGCGTGCATCAATGTTGTGAATTCAAGAAAGCTTTTTATTATTAAACCAGTGTAAGTATACCGATCACCAAATGTCAAGAGTCGAGAAGCTTGCAAGCCGTTCGCGAGGATGATGAAATACGCTCCGCACCCCTCCTTCCTTGCATGTCGCATCGCCTCCAGCGTAGAGAAGTTTGGAGACAAAAGGTCCTCGTGTTCAGCCACCACAATCTACCATATAATAATATCAATAATTTCTGAATTTAACTTATTAGTTAACTGAATAAAATAACTAGAAATTAACCGTATTGTAGATAATCTTGCGTCTAAATGTAGACATAAATTGGCAATTTTAATACTATTCGACCCTCTTTTTTACCTTTATTCAGAACTTTTAAATCGAATAAAATTAATTATCAGTTGTAAACTTACGAAGACAAAAGGCACGGTGTAGAGTTTATCAAACAAAGCGCCTTCGAAGATGTTCAAGTAGACAGGGTCGCAGAGGACGGCGACGCAGGCCTGGTCCCCGCGCATCGACACCAAGTTCACCAGATCAACTATGAGGTGCTCCAACTCCTTTTGTTTCTTCACATCTCTTAGGATATTATCTATGTCCGCATGAGCGCTACCAATTTCCAGAAATACAACTAATTTAACTCTTAAACTTTCTTCCTTTTTAGAAATTACAAATTCTAATAAGAGTTTTTTTAATTAAGTTCTTTAGAAAGTCAAATCCGTGATTTTTTTGAAAACTGCGCACTTTTCTCAGCTATAATTATGCTTGTTTCCACTTAGCAAATATTTTTTTCGTAAAAAATATATCCCGAAACTACATACAAAAACGCTAAGTGGAAATACGCGCTAGTTAGTAATGGTCATAAAATAAATAATTTTTTTTTGTCATATTTTTGACTGGAATAAAACAACTATAGCTAATAATCCGAATATCATTTTGTCCCATTCGGCGTCGAGACCCTTGGTCCGTGGGGTCCTAGCGCTTTAAGACTTTTTAAGGACATTTCCAAAAAAATAATCGACATCACAGGGGACCGGAGAGCTGGCAGCTACCTCGGTCAAAGAATTAGTTTAGCTGTACAAAGGGGGAACGCTGCCAGTATCTTCGGGACCTTGCCTAAAGGGACTCCTTTTAACAATATATTATAGTAAATTATTCGGTTTTTTTTTATTATTTTATTTAATATTATATATTTAAGACTTAATGTAATCATAGAAATAAGGATGTAAATTAATTAATAGTATACATAATAAATGTTATTTATGTTCATTAATTTATATATTACATAATACTACTCTTATTGCTTAATATGTTCTTAATTTATTTCTTAAATATAGCTAATTGAATATTATATATACTTACTTAATTAAAATAACACAAAGGATTATAGTTCTGAGCATGTTGTTCTCGTAGTTCTGAGACTTGTGTGCGCCGGCATGTCCGTACACTTCGACATTTGTACGAACAGACGGACAAAGTGATTGACGGAAACCATTACATATGCAAACTCCATTATGGAAACACGAATTGTTTTCGATCACTTAAATAATTCACAGAGTATTTTGTAATTTCTCGATTTATTTTTTTATTTTACTTAAATGTAGGAAAAAAGTTATCATTTAAAAAAAATATATAAAAAAAACAAATATATAGAAAATAAAATTTAATTTTTTTTAGTTGAAAAATAACAAATTTTTATAAAATCTCTATATACAAAAATAACCCATCACATTATATAAAGCTCTTAATATAAAACATTATAAAATAATTTTATATCACTTTTTCTTAACGTATTTTTTGTGTAATCATTACTCATGTCTTTTGTGTGTAAAATGCTAAATCAAACGTGACATTTTAATATGAAAAAAAAATCATTTGAAGTCTGTGAAACGTAAAAATATTCTCTTGGAATGTATAAAATCATTTTGTTTGTAGTATGTAAAATGTAAAATAATTTGGAGTGTGTAAAATAACCTTGTATATAGTGTGTAAAATGTAATATAACTTTGATTTTAGTATGTGATATGTAAAATCATTTTGTCTGCAGTGTGTAAAAACTAGTGTAAGAGGCGTGTAACATTCGTTGGTTGTTATAGTTTGGAGGGGGCATATGTCTGCCAGTGCACCACGTCGCGCCACCACTGCGGGCGCGCCAGTGCCCCCGGGTACGTCATCACGCTGTTTTGCAGGTGCTTGTACACCTGGATCACAGATATACATCATAAATATTTTTTAATTTACTAAAAATAAAATATCGGCAATAATTGCCGTAAATTTAATGTGTTGCAGGGCGTACGGTGATGCAGGAGGGAGATGCTAGCCAAGACTAAAACAACTAATATATGCCTTCTTCCATTAAGGTTCATTTAGACACAATCCGGAATCGTACGAACAACGATTTGAAGTCGCTTCAGAGCGAGACAAATGTAATGTATTCCCATACATTTGTCTCGCTCGAAGTGACCGTCGGCTTGTACCTCAATGAAGCTTAAGAATGCATGGCTCCATCCCAGCCATTATTTACCTGTCCATCTGAGTGTCCGAGCAGAGAGTTGAGGCACCAGTCGGGCGGGGCGAGAGTGTCGGCGAGCGCGGGCGCGGCGGGGGCAAGCTGTGTGCTCAGCCGCACCGCCGCCTCCCGCACCAGCACGCCCTGACTTCCTGACAGGTACCCGCCCTACACAACAACCCCAACACATTTCTCTATGTCATCTGATACCTTCCATTCACTAAATCGTTTATAATATGTTTACGAATATTATACTGAATATTTCCATTTTAATATGTTTATAGTTTATGATGAAGTCTAGAAGTCTAGAAGTGCTAGGCCCTAGTAAAAATATTTGTGTGTCTTTGTATTATAATCGTCAGTTATGTCAAAATTACTATGAGATTTTTGATGTACTTTTCACCCGCTAGGGGGCGCTGCATAAGTTTAAATACTATTTTTGTCTAAAGCACAATTGCGTTTGTCACACATCACAAATATTATGCTAGGCCCAAATTATTAGCAATTATCAGGAATCAACGTTATTCATAATATTAAAAATAAATTTATAAGAATTGCAGTAATTTCACATCTTAAATAAAAGCTGTCAGTGTTCAAAGAAACTACACTGACAGTATATAAGAACAGAAATAACTCTGTATACTGACAATGTACAACGTGGCGAGATGTTTCTCAAGAAGGAATGCGCCGTACAGCGCGACCAGCTGCACCAACACCTTCCTGCACTCCACCTCATGGAAATCTGCAGCACTCTTGTAGAAGTGATTCAAAATGAAGTTCTATGAACAAACAAATTGGATTCAGTTAACAAAATGTGCTAGAAATCTTTCCTTATATTATAAAGGCAAACGTTTGTATCGATGTTTGTTAGAAGATATCTCTAGAACGGCTGATTGGATCTCACTAAAATTTGACATAGATGTAGAACATTTTTTTTAATTCCGCACGGACAGAGCCTGGGGCAACAGCTAGTGGACTATATTATTATTTAAAGATTGTCAGTTTTCTCTGTTAAAAGTGCAAATAATCAAAAAAATAAATTATCTTTTAGGCCGCCATATTTCAAATTTGACGTTTCTTGATTTATTTTGGTATTGGATCTCAACAAGATATAAAAATGTAAGTGACAATATGTGACTATGGAGATGTACCTCTCCATATACAGCAGAGAGTGTGACAGCGTTGTACGGCTGCGACTCGTTCTTGGCGTGGAAGTTGTCTCTGCCGGCCGCCTTCAGGCTCGACACCTTCTCGTACGTCGTCTTCAGCGAGTACGCACTCAGCCACTTGTATATCTCGATTATATCTAGGGAAACACTTTTATTTCTTATTTTAATTCATTTCTGTTACAAAACATTCAAGGTCACGTCACGTTTACGTACATTATGTTACATGAATGAGACGAAAGATATGACATAGAGCAAGAGGAAAAGAGTTGGCTTGTTTTATAATTTACTAAGTGTGCTAATTTTTAATTCATTCTTTTCTTTTGAGTAAAATTATCCTCACTGGCTGGCTCCATCATATCCTCAACCTTCGTCCAGGGGCAAGTCTTTGTCAGGTTGTGGTCAGCATTCTCGAGGAAGTGCAGGGAGCCGAGGGGATGGTCGGAAGGTGTGAGGTGGTGACGGCGCGGCCAGACGGTCAGCAGCCAGTTGCTGGTCTGCTGCAGCAGGAGGCTGTTCTCTCCCTCGTACGTGCAGTTCGCATCGTTGTCGTTGCGCAGCTCACCCAGAGCCGACGCTGGGGATACATACGAGAAAACTGATTAGCCTAGTTATTTCTAATGAATGAAGGATTCCAAGATTTGATATTGTTTAGTTCGGTTTCCTAGTGCATTAACTGCGTATGAAAAAAAATTGTTGGCATGTTAAGAGAAAAAGAAAAGGGCATCTCAACCCCGATTTGATACTTCTGGTTTGTTGTCTATGAGTTTGTGACCTTTAGATAGAATGCAATGACATATAACCTTTGAGATATCCATGTCCCCCGGTAGCCTCGCGACATGCCTGTATGGCGTCGCGCGAACTCCACGCGCACACCGGCTTCGCCGCACACGACAGCGCGTGCAGCTCTATACCCCGACTTGCTGCATCCTCACCTCCACCTCCACCTGCACCCACAACACCAACATCACCACCACTGTCTCATCACACTTGTTTGACACTGACAGATGTCAACAACTTTTAAGGGTTACCAGTAAAAAATTACTAAATTCTACCGAAACTCACCTATGTTGCAACTCAAAAGTAATAATTTGAAACTAAGACCTGAATTCTCGTTATAATTTCTTACGTTTTTAAATAACTTTCAAGTGATAACATCATGTCTACGTGATTTTTGAAGAGATTTCTACACTATGAATATGGCAACACTAAATCGTGCAGCTGCCATTTTCTCATTGGTCAAAATATATCGGTGTCAAGCTGTTATTGGCTCACATATTTTCGTTAGAGCGTCGATGCCTCAGGAGTTAATCAATCGACCTGTAATCTGCAGGTCCTGGGTTCGAATCCTGCCATATACTATTTACAATGAAGGAAAACATCGTGATACAATCTACACATCTAAGAAGAAATTTCAGTTTGGTGGTTAAAACACTCGATGAAATAGTGTATTTTAAAATATGTGCGTCTGTCTGTTGTACCTGTGATATTGTCTATGGTGATAGAGACATGCAGAGCACCGAACCAGGTGCAGAATATCCTCATCGCGAAGGTGGTGGCGAGGTGCGGCACCAGACGGATTTGCTGCACAACAAACAATATACAAATTAGGACAGGAAGAGAAACAGACAGACTATCAAGTGATTGCTTGCTCGTTTGCAATTCTTATAACATTAAAAAAATATCGAACAACGAAAGAGTTAAAAAGAAAGGGACATAACCTTTTCTATGTTTTTCTATCCTTTAATCCTATTTTTGTTTTCTTTACAAGTTATTTTTAACTTAACACTCGGTAATGTAAAATGACTTTCATAAAAAATCTATATTAATATAATAAAGTGGAAGAGTTTGTTTGTTTGTTTGTTTGTTTAAAAGCGCTAATCTCAGGAACTACTGATCCGATTTCAAAAATTCTTTTTTTGTTGGATAGTCCATTTATAGAGGAGGGCTTTAGGCTATGTAACATTGCCAATAGTTTTTTTTTTAATTCCGCGCGGACGAAATCGCGGGCGAGAGCTAGTTAGATATAAAACGTGTAATATTGTTTCATAGAACACCTGTTGCTGATACTCCAGCACGGGCAGCTCCTCGCTGGAGTTGTCAGGTCCGAACTGTCTCCTGACGGCGGAGTAGCGGATTGCGATCACGATGGCCTTCTGCATGTAGTTGGCGGATATCGATGTGATGTGCACTCTGCCGCCTGGACAAAGAATAAGAAAAAAGAAAAAACCGTTTAATATGACATGAATTACACACAACATGGCGACAAAATTATAGATAAAGCCATACAACTGCAACTAGCTGTCGCCCGCGACTCCGTCCGTGCAGGATTAAAATAAAACTTAATTAGTAGCCTATCTGTTCTTTCAAACTATGTCAGATTTTAGCGAGATCCATGCAGACGTTCTTTAGATATCGTCTAACAAACATTCATCCATCCATCCAAACATTCGCATTTTAATAACAAGTAAAATTAATTTTGATGGTTGTTTTAACCATATTTTTTAGTGAACTTACCTGACAGAATGCCCAATGAGGCACCAAACCTCTTTTTAGGGTCTCGGAAAGGAGTTTTGTAGTCTCCGTTGTCATCCACACCACCAAACTTGTCTAATGCAGCCTCCTTAGGCAAGTGGTACTTGTTGAACATTACAAAACTGTAATAAACATTTTTTTTTAATAAGGTTAGTTTAAAAGAGTCACTATAATATAATTAATAAGACCCATTGAGGTCTGCTTAAAAGAAATTTTTTTGCCGGAGATGTAAATCTTAAAAATTACTTGTTCTTTACATCTACTCAACATTCTACTGATCGTAGATAAACATTACAAAAAAAAGATTGAAGCAAAAAAAATTTGAATAAAGTGTTATTTAAATTTTCAAGACGCTGTCATACTTTTTTATACATCACAAAAAACAAGTACAAATAATAAAACAAAATTACTTAAAACAATGGCATTTTATCCATTTTTTATTACTTTTTCAGATATAATTATAAAGTATTTATAAAGGAATTGGACTCTACGTTTATAAATATAGAAATTCCCACAATAATAAATATGAACAAATAATAAAATATGTAAATTCAGTAGTACAAATTTAGAAGTATGAGAAAAGTTATTATTTATCAAAAAATAATATGCACATATGATCATTACGTACGTACGTACTTCGCTCAGTCAGTCGTCACATTTACCGTTGGTTTCTGAGACCAAATTCTCTGTATAAAAGATAGATAACATTACATTTTAAAGGCTTTCGGGTCTCAGAAACCCACAGTTTGAGTAAATTTCTTAGTTCAATTACCCATTATCAACGCCGTTAAGTCCAATCTTCTCTCCGATGTCCCCCACAGTGACCCCTGGGTATGGCTTCAGGGTCTTGGGGTCTCTGATTGGTACGACGAACGTATGCAGACCGTGGTTCTTGCCTTTGGAGATCAACATTGCGTACACAATCGCATGTGTCGCGCATTTGCCTAGAAGAAAAATAAAAAAAATTCAAAAGAACTGGCAATACTATAAATTAGTAGAAATCGAAGCCGCGACATCTAGATAAGAAATATAAAATCATCTTCTTCTTTTTGAAGTCGGTAAAAATTGTGATGATGAAAATGTGAAATGCCGTTTCTAATGTCAAGACCCTTCTTGTTTTTTTTAAAGAAAGGATAAAAATCAAAGTTTGACTACAAGTCAAATAATAAAATTAAAAAACATGTAGTCTTTCCTTCAACTTACTGATTCATAGAATACATTAATATGTTACACTTTGCTCAGGTCAGACAATTGAACTTCAGTTAAATCGTAATGTTAATCGAAAAAAGTTAAACTTAAAACAAAACTATAATGAATTTATTTAAAAAAATTTTAACAAGTTGCCGCCGGCAAAAGGACGTGGAAGTCACAACTCGTTAAAAACATCAACCTTGCGTCTGAATCTTGAACCTTGAGTTCAATGAACTTCAATCTCACCTAATGATCCTATCCAGAACTTTGCGGCCTCAAAATCCGGTGTATGCAAGATAAACTGTTTCTTATCCGGACAATAGGTGGCAGTAGTTCTCATGCCTTTAGCATTGGATCCATGGGATACTTCAGTCAATGCAAAACAGCCTCCTATCTCCCCTCGCTGCGACTGCTCTATGTAAGAGTAGTGATGACTGCGACCACTGCCTTGGATCACATTCGAGAACATACGGAAGGTCAATGATATTTTCACAGCTAGGGAACTGTCAAACATGAATAACGCTTCAGCTTCCGCTTGGAACAATCTAGGCTCTACACCAATCTGAAAAAAAAAAATTGCCTCTATTCAACACTTTTGGGGCCCCGTAACTTCAAGCCTGGAAACTGTAAATGCCACTGCAAAGTGTTTAATGAGTCATAGATATTCTTTTGTTAATATATTTTTTATTCAGTGTTTAACCGAGCTATCCTTATTAGAACTTTTTTACAATACACCATGTGTAAATGTAATATAGCTTTCATCCACATAAACACTAAACATAAAGTAGGGTTGTGGTCAAGTGCTAGTATATTCATAAAAAATTAAATTCCAGCTTGATACCTTCACGCGTTTTTGAAAAAAAGGGTCTTGAAAGTCAGACCGACAGACAACAAAGTGATCCTATAAGGGTTCCATTTTTTTCCTATGAGGTACGGAACCCTAATAACAAGTTATGTTACAAAATATGACATTTTCTGTATGTTACATAGTTACGTAGTTAACAAGCTACAGCTATAAGTATGTTAATTAGGCCATTGACTTCAATGACCTATCATCATTAAAATGTATGTGAAATATGATAAAGAGTTTCTGTTTGTTGTGTGTAAAATACGAAAGGTGGGGTTATTCTTGGATAATTCTCTCTTTCTAATGCCACCCCAAAGAAAGTGATACATGACTTACAGCTCACCTTTGTTAAGGGTATGAAATTCTGACTGTATATTGCATACATCCTCTTTGTGGTGATATGTCTTTGCTCATCCAAGGAGGGAGTGGCTTCCTGGTGCCGGAAGAGAGGGTTGTCACGCATGAAATTCCAAATGTCATTCTGTTGGTAAAAATAAATTAAGAAATTTAAGATCAATCTTACGAGTTTTGCTAAACATATAAAGGACGGAATTTTCTTTTAGACGCATTGTAATAATGAGGGTAAAAGACTAAGGATGTTATTTGCAAGATAAATATTTTTATTAAAAAAATGGAATCGTAAATAATTTGTAATAACATAAACTTTCAACTTACTTTCAACTTTAATGTCGTCAAGTTATCGAAAACAAGTTTCATTCGACGCCAATCGAATGTGGCTTTCTTTCTATACACATCCAATGGACCTGCTGGTAAATCCGGAAACAGTTCCTTCAGCTGATCATCCGTTACACTTTCATTATTTAATTTCAACATTTTCAAGTTGTTTTTTACTTTATACAGTCTTATACACTTTTCACTAGGTCAAAGTCTGACTTCATGTAAAACAATATATGATTTGATGATACTTTTATCATAAAGATAACATATATCAAATATGTATAGTTTTCTTAAAGTTGTAAATAAAATATTTAACTGATGTTATTGGTAGATACGATTTTTGGCGCAATATTTCAAACACTAATACAAATGTTATAAAAACTGACTATATCAACGTGAGCGCCAAAAGTATTGTTAAGTAAAGAAAAAATGAAGGTAAATAAACTCAAACCTCGTATTATGTAAATAATTAAAATCCGAGTAATAAAATAAAATTCAACTTTAACACAATAGCGTAAGGTGTATTTTATTATATTCCTTTCAAAATTTCCTTGACCATGGCAAAGTCCACCTTCTGTTTGTCAGTGTCAATTTCTGACGTTTTACGTCAATTTTATTTTATGCCAAAATGTTTTCCGTTTTACCTTAGTTATTTTAACCTATTCACGAAATTTAAAAATAATCACAATACGATATGACACATGAAAGTTTACTGCAAAATAGTTGATTTTTTGTAAAAAAGCATATAATTTTGAATGTATTTGTGTATCCAAAGTGCAAATCATTTAAAAGATCATGTGGCATTTACATTTTATAATCTTAAATACCTTATTTATTTTAAAATATGTTGATGACGTTTCGCAATAAAAAGAAAACTTGATAAAGTTTTTATTTTAAGTAGTGTAGTTTTGTGTCTGTCATACAGTATGTATGATCAATATGCCTTTGCTTGGCGGGCTAGAAGTATATAAACACAGGCAAAATAAAGTTTACTGTTTACTGCAACTGTCAAACTGTTTTTAATTTGTAGGTTTGTTTTGTTTTTATTTTAAACGCAAGTATATTTTCACAATTACTATTAGCTAGCAAGGGTTAACTGCACAGTTTAAGACTTAAGATATTTATAGGTAAGGATCTAAAAGATTTATTCTTTCCTGTTTCCTTCCAATTTACTTCTGTTCTACAAAAATTTAATATCCTTTTAAATAATATGAAACCAATAAGTACTATTAAAAATCTCATTACACCTTGTTAAGGTACTCCTATAGCAGGAAATGACTATCAGAAAACTTGATACGTTTAAAATTTAGTAACAACATAAGAAATAAATACGATTAATTTAAAAGATTTGCTATTGTTATCATCTTCTTGGCATTATCACACTCGACGAAAAATTTTTATAAAAAAAAAAAATTGTTGCCTTGTTTTTTACGGTCAGTCATCTGTCTATCACCAATCCTATTTGGGTGGAATAAAGTAAGACAAAACATTTGTTTATCAAATAAATTAAGATTAATTATGTAATTATAAACAAAACAGTTATAGCTACATACCTCAAAATTACTTCAAATAATATACCAATTATAATTAATAATAAATAAAGTCTTGTTGCTCGGTAGTAATATAATATGCCGGAGCAAACATTATGCGGCCAATGTTCCTAAAGTGCAAGGTAAGTTCTCATCTGTCAATCTGCTTTTTGTACAGACTATCAGTAATATCTTGAAGAAAATATAATATAGGTTATAATCATAGATGATGACAACATTGTGGAGGTATATTAAATTGAAATATTGGCAATTTGGTCATTACCTAGTTTATACTGTTTTTTAATAACCCGCTGTAAAAAAAAATATTCCTTCATAGTAAGATTTACAGCTTACTATTTATTAGAGTTGCCTTTGGCAAAGCATGTTGTTTTACATAGTGAAAACAGAGTAAAAGACTAACAAAGTCTTCCCATATTTCTTATAATCTAGATCTTCCTAGAAAGAATATGAAAAAAAAACATACATACCACTGGTGGGCATAAGTTAAACTAAATTGTGATGGCTCGCTAGCGCCCCCCTGCCAACGATTCCATAAGAAATGTCACAAGATCCTTTTCGTACTATAGTTGTCATGTCATTTTTTTATTTTTATTATGCCATTTTCTGTGCCCATGTAGGTTTAATATATTTTCTCATAGAACTAACCGCGGTTATACGATAGCAGCGTATCGGCCCAGATAAGCTTGTTTGACTCTACAATTATTATTAGTAAAATTTAGTTACAAGTTTTTTTCTCTAATGCGAATTTGTATAAAATATCTAACAAGGTATTGTTGGAAGGTAATTTGAAAGAGGCCATTAACTCGATCCGCTTAATAATCCTAATCCGCATTTTCCTTACGTATCATTAGCTAGGGCTGTAATGGAATGGTGGTTTTCTTTATTTTTATTTCTTTTAATAAAACAAATGAAACACGAAATGAAAAGTTATGAAATGGCTTTGCTTATACAGATATTGTAGACTCTCAGTGACGATAATAATAACACAGTTAACCTTAACTCTTTTATAATTGAATTGACTAGAACTCATTGTTCGAACAACGACGTTATAAATGAAGTCATAAGGCTCATTGTGCTAATATTGTCATTCTAAATCTTTTAAATTACGTCGTAATCGTAGCAAATGAAATTTAGAACTAATTGTTTCATTGTACCATTATTTATAATCAATATTACTATTAAGACTAATATACAGTAACGGCTATATTTTTTAATATATAAAAAGCACTTAAAAAAATATTACGAAAATTTTATAAAAAAAACTCTGAGCAAATATTAATTAAAACTTTTGCTAAAGAGCGGGTTTCTCTATAAAATCTTAATTGCCTAACTTTGTTTTCATATGGCATCTCGAAAGTTCTTAAAAACTTGGATAGTTCGTTATGAATCCTGTTTATAATTATCTCTTTAAATTAAAATGAAGCAATGTTGCAAGAATATCTAAAAACGACGTTTATGTGACTTCAGTTGAATATTAGAGGCTTCTGCAACCCAAATATATCCGAGTTCAGGATAGAGGAAGAAAATTTAGTGTAGCGCTTGACGTTGGAGGTAGCAGACGCGCGTCATTGGTAGCTCCGTCGCGAGTTTTCCCGCCAAAGAGTACGAAACGGCGCGAATTATTATTAAGCGACAGATTAAAAATAATTATAACACTATAAATAATATTCCACAAACAAATTTCACGATTTTTTTGCTACTGTTTTATTGTTATTTTTATTTCACATTTATTTTATTTTTGTTGCAGCTATGTTTTTACTGGTGTTATTCATGTTCGTCGATTTAGTTTCATGTTTCGGTGAGTAATCAGAATTATAAACAAATTATAATTATATATCATTTGTTTTACTTTATTTTTTATTCAAAAAGTTTAATACAATACTAAAAAATGTGAATAACAGGTTTTAGCGTTTGTAGGCAATATTTATTGAAAATTTGTTGTAATGAAATGACCAGGGTAGGTTAAACTGTAGCGGACCATCAAACAAATTCAAAGTAAATGTTTGAGCCAATACATACGACGTAAACCGATAGACAATATTTACTTTGGCTTCTACATTTCACAAAAATGTACAGAGCGAGTTAGATAAAATCATTTAATTAATAGTTCTATTTATATTCCTTCAAAAGGAACGGAACCCTTATAGGATCACTTTGTTGTTCGTCCGTCTTTTTTACAGAATTTCCTTCTCTCTCAAATTGAAATGGCAAAGAAAGTCACGGGGAAATTCTTAAATATAAATCAGGTGTTATAATGGCAGTTTCCTTGTAGTTAAATGAAGCGGTTTGCGTCTACATAATACGAAGCGGGCGCTGTGTCAGAACTTGCTAACTTACATTATACCGACTTAAGTAGGGAGAACTTGGGCACTTTATTTTATAGCAATCTGATTGAGCCGTCAACTTTCTTATAAAGAGCTTTTGTTTCGAAGCTCCAACTTTGCTGGAATAAAGAAGACGTGTTTAAGTGTGGAAAAGGGATTATGGATGATGTGGGCGGAATTTTTTGCTACCGAATGAGTTTGTAAAACAATCTACACATTGCTTAAAAACTTAACTATCTCTATACTTAAAATGTTATGTTTTTCCAGTTATAGGCAAATTATTCGCATCGGATCGGCTTACAAAGTCAAGTGGAAGCAATTCCGCGTTTCGTTTGATGAGTGTGCATCCCGGAGGCTTAATTTAGTCCTCTTTCCCTTCCCACCCTTTTTCTTATAAGAAAAGGATGGGAAGTGGAAGTGGACTTTCCGGATGAGAGGATGCATGTAAAGGGAAAATATTTTCTTTCTGTGTATCCTTTCCTCTGTCGATTAAAAGTAGGCAACGCATATGCATAAGCATATGTCTATGGGCAACGGTCACTTCGCTATTTCAGCGATTTCAGGTGGCTGTTCGCTCGTTTGCCACCTTATGATATAAAAAAAAATTTGTTTCTCTTGTTACAGATTCTAGAAATGTAGTGTTCACTATCGTCAGCCAGGCGGAACCATACCATGCGAGTGTGGCCACTAGGCTCAAACAGGACATAGACCACCAAGTTTTTGAACTAGAGGGGGTGAGATTTAAAAGACAATTTTTTTCTTGCTTGCTAAATATTTTGTGGCGTTGTTTCTTTTTTAATGATTTAAAGAAATAAACTATAATAAACAAGTGTACGTTTTTTTAGGACATTAATATTAATATTTAAGGTAGACATAAGTCTAGTTTTTTTTTAACCAAAGAAAAATATATACTGCAAAATTTTAATACACTTAATTTTTTAATTATTATAGCTTTATTTGTATGGTGTATGGTTTATATTCAAATGGGAGATCTCTTTGTGTCATCACATAACGATAGTCGCAGAATTGGCATGCAAGTTCGCGTCTGATTGCTAATATTGTTATGGTCACAAACGCGCGCCTTAACGAGCCTCGATATGATTGTACCAACTATTTTTGTATTGTAAATATGATAGCCTCAATTGTCCAGTATCCTTCTATATGTAGATATACAGATAATTTGTACAAATATTATTATCTGTCTAGAACTAAGATTTTACTTTCTTATATGCATAATTATAAACACAGGTTACCTACGCGTTTTACCAGGCGGGTACCCAGGTAGGAGTACCTCGACTCCTGTACCTTGACTTGTTTTTGTACAAAACATGTGTTATTTATTTGGTTACACTATAACTAGACGACAGACTAGCTATGGAAATTATAGCGTTTTCATTATTCAGCGACGTCCCATAGTCCACACAACGCATGAAGATTTCCCGGTGGGGGGCGCCTGGACGATAATACCTCTGTTACGGCCACTGACAGAGAAGCACAGCGGCAGTGATGTGCGCTGGGTGGTCTTCCTGGAGCCACACACCGCTGTTAGATGTGGGAAACTGTTCGAGGCACTTACTGCCGCTGATAGCCAAAAGGTAATAATGAAGAACTTGGTAATTTACCAAAAGCAAGAATGATATCATTTTGTCTGCTTCTACACATTTAGCCATTAGTTATTTCTAGTCTTTTAGCTAAGGCTATTTATCCTATTTAGCGAACTTTTTTTAAAATTCTTGTGACACGAACCAGGACACTATGTGGATCGGTTACCCTTTGAGTGACGAAGAACCGACGATTATCCACCACTTTACATTCTACGAGGAGTTGCAGGACGATGGAGGTTTCGTATACCCGAACTTTGCCAGCGGCTTCGCTATGAGAATTACACTTATGAATAAGTAAGTCAACGTAATAAGTTTTTACAATACCGTACTCATAGTCGATTAGTTGTTATGAGTTATATTTGTATTTTTAGACTGCTAAACGAAATAGAGAGCGGTGATAGGAAATTGGAGGCAGATTTCTCAATAGACGCGGCGTTTGAGCTCGCGCAGCTTGTGTACGGAGACGCGAGCCGGCGCGGGCCGCTGCTCACACCGGACTTGAGGTTCTGTGTCGTGTCCGCCGATAACTGTGCCACCTACCCTAGGCCCTTTGATTTATGTGTGAGTATGTGAAACTATCAGTTTAGTTCACGTATATGGTTTTCAAAACTTTTTTAACTCTACAAAGATGAGTACTTTTATAAAAATCGATTTAAAAATATGAAGGTTTCGGTAGGGCAGTGCCATAGCTGAGGAGACGATGTTGTTCGCGGTGAAGACCTGGAGCGGCTTCCACGCGACCAGAGCTAACGTGGTGAAGAAGACGTGGGGCAAACATGTCACCAATCTATACTTCTTTAGTGATAAAGCGGGTGAGAAACTATATTTGTACATTATTCCAATTCGTCTTATTGGATACAGGGTGTTAGAGAATGATGTACTTTTTGTTTCATTTACATTTGATTTTTCAGACGCTTCCATCCCGACTATAGATATAGGCGTACCCAACACTAAGACCGGACATTGCGCGAAAACAATGGCCATACTGAATCGTGTGGTCGACATGATTGAAGACATGCCAAACATTCAGTGGATATTCCTAGCGGATGATGATACTATTTTAGGGTGAGAGATGTTTTATATTAACGTTGTTTCAGCCTTCCAATATAGAACTTATACGTAGAAAGCTGTGTTCACAAGTCGCTATGTCTAAGTACTTTCTCGCGTGTAGTGTGCAGCGGCTGTGCGAGGTGCTGAGCTGCTACCGCGGCGGCGCGGCGCTCACCCTGCTCGGCGAGCGCTACGGATACGGATACGGCAAGAGGGAGACAGCTGCCAAAGGTAAACTTATGATTGTATTAATCACATACGGAATATAGGAAAAGATATAAATAAGGTGTGTGTCAGGTTACGACTACATAACCGGTGGGGGCGGCACAGTGGTCAGTGTGGGCGCGGCGCGTGCACTGCGCACCTGCGTCTGCGCCGCGCTCAGCGCACCCGACGACATGACACTAGGCGCATGCGCCAAGCGACGTAACATCACCCTCACACACTCCCCGCTCTTCCATCAGGTGTGTACCATTTTTAGTTATACTTCTTCTTTTTATAATAATTAAAATTTCTGTGATAAATTTTTTGTGCAAAGTTTGTAAAGCCTCTTTTTATCAAGCTCAAGAGCCAAGATTCACTTTTAACCAAATTAAAGATTATTGTGTTGCTGTTATACTATAAAGTTTTCTTTTTATTTAAATATTTATTTCGAAATAGGTTGTCCATTGTTGAATTGGGTTTCACTATTTACGACTTGCCATTGACTTTCGGAACATCCTGTATTCGCTGTATTATAAAGACCGGGGTGGTGGGGGGTGGTGTGTCAGGCGCGGCCGCAGGAGTACAGTCGCGAGGCGGTGTCGCGCGCGCGGCCCGTCTCCTTCCACAGGCACGCGGCCGACCCGCTGCGACTGTACGCCGCATGGTTCCTGCACGACGACCGCGCGCGTACACACCAAGCCCGGGAAGAACTATAGCTCTCACTGACTCACTGACTCACTGACACACAACATAATATTTACCTCCATCTACGTGACACATGTTACCGTAGGATTCCACTGCATCCTCTTTCACTAAACAGAGTATATATGTATCAATAGAAGTTACACTGCAGTGGAATTGTACGTTAAGGTGATGGTTAATTATGTTGCTTCTCGAATACCGATAACTAATCTTTGAGAATTAATTACTTCTACAACTACTGTGAAATAACACTAATTATATACTCTCAAATAAGTATATAGTAATCCATGTGCATGTTTTCTTATAGGATGATATTATTTGCATTTAAGTTTTTACTGGAGACAGTAATATGATCTTTTACGCTTATATACGCCATAATAAATTTGTGATCAAACTCTGGTTTATTTTAGTTTAAAAATATTATAATAAATGAAAGCTTTTTATTAAAATTACTAATGATAGTTAACATTATAATAATTAGTTTTAATTAGTAATAATTAACAATAATTGTTATGTTAACATCACAATAACAATATAATAAATATGAAATTATTATAACTTAGAAGTTAAAAATGTAATTAAGTTAATTAAGCTTGTACTTTATTAACATATCATTGTTTTTAATAATAAAATGTGATATTTTTATATTCGATTTGTTTCATTTTTATATCTTACTTCTTACATCTTGTAACAGTGGTAGAGCCTGCTTTAACATCTTCGCACGAATTGGCCCGGCTAGCCCGGTGAAATACCACGACCACACAGAAGACAGGCGTCAAGTGGAAGCTATTCCGCGTTTCGTCTGATGAGAGTGCGTCCCGGAGGCCTAATTTAGTCCTCTTTCCCTTCCCACCTTCTTTCTTATAAGGAAAGGACAGGAAGTGGAAGTGGACTTTCCGGATGAGAGGATGCATGGGAACGGAAAATATTTTATTTCTGTGCATCCTCTCCTCCGTCGATTAAAGGTAGGCAACGCATATGCAATTGCGTATGTCTATGGGTAACGGTCACTTCGCTATTTCAGCGATCTCAGGTGGCCGCTCGCTCGTTTGCCATCTTCTAATATAAAAAAAATATCTTACTATGTTTAATTAAAGGTATCTCCGGAACGGCTACATAGATGAAATTTAGCAAAGATATAAAACATAGCTTAGAAGGGCATATAGGCCACTAATAAAGTTTTTTAATTCAGTGCGAACGGATTCGCGGGAGACAGCTAGTTAATATTAACGCTAAATGATGAAAGAGCAAGTCATCAAAGTAAAAATAACAGTTTGGTACATAATAAAGGTATTTATTAATTAAATACATAACATAGTCAACAAGAATAGTAATTACCCCTTGAACGTTCCTTTTGCAATGTATAAAATAAGCTTTGAATTATATAATTTGTATCTAAATAAACATAATATTAATTAGAAAATTAAATGGTGTAAATATAAACAAGATTGCAGGAACAAAAGCACTTAAGTCCTTACATTTGTAGCAAAATTTAATTAAACAGATTTCACCTGCTCGTAAACCGAAAGCCAGGTGTCTGAGGCAGTCTGCGATCAATTTGAATGGCGACTGAAATAATTCATTCACTCGTTTGTTCATTCATTAAAATGAAGGTGAGCTCGCATTGAGATAAATGTCAAAATTCAGTTTATCCTAATAACCCTTTAAACCTTTAAATGAAAAAGTTTCGGATTTTTTGTAAATAAAAGTCGGAACGCGTTAGAACAGTTGTTCCCAAAGTCGTCCAGATATCCCGTGGGGTTCATGGAATACCCGAGCGGGAAAATTATACAGGATGTTCATCGAATCTAGTAAATAAGTAATGGCGTTCTAGGAGAAAAAAAGGTTAGGGAATGTCTGTAATATCAATAAGCAATAATATATGAAAAAGTAATTCCTTATTGCTATCTCGGTTATTCCCCAATATGATATTCGGTGTTGATTTGGTAAGAGTCGCAGGGGACGTAATAAAGCGCGCTGTAACGTAATAAACCGACCGATTTCGTGACCGGACCTGCATGTTAATATAGCCAAGATACCCGGGGGAAACTTCATCGTAAGATTGTGAAAATGAATATTGCATTATAAGATAGACAAGAAAATTAATTTGAAAAATTTCGTGAGACTAGATAAAAACGTAACAAAGAACCTTATAAATTCAATTAAAGGTTTTGATGAAGATAATGACAGGTTCCTTTTAAATTGAATTAGGCTTTGCTTCAAATACATGCGAGCACTTACTAGGTGGTTTTTATAAACTTATCACTATGTAAAACTCAACCTTAAACTTTAGACTAAAGAGTAAATGTAAAAAACTATTCTTCTAACGTTTATTCTTCTTTACTTATCAGATTCATTTCGATACTTCTTATGTTATTTGTAATTACATTGTTGAATTCTTTATTCCTTGAATTGCTTGCGATATTTCAGCGGGCACTGTTATTATGGACCCAAAAAGTCCTTTGTTATGGTTATTTTTTTCGGTTCTTATTCCATTTTCTTTGGTTCCCGAGGTTTTTTCAATGATATTGAATACCGAATCCTTTGTTCTATAAACAACTTTAGATAATAATCCCAAGGGAAACGTTATAATTCTCAAAAGTCCTTTCTGGTTGGTTTCTTCAGTTCGTGGTACCGTTTCTTCAGTGTTGAAGTTATTTTCGCCGAAGATGAAACTCAACTTCAAAATGTAGAATGCTTTCTTTTTAATTTGATCTATACATTTGTGCAGTAAAGATCTTACCACTTGTAGTACTAAATGAACAATTATTTTAATGATATTATTAATTCCCATTTTGTTTTATCTGTTGTTTTATTAACGTTGCTTTAGAGGTTATGAATGTAAAGCAGAAGGAATAGCACATTTATATATTGTGTGTACTTTGTTATCTTTCTTATTTATTGCATTGAAGTCCTGTGTACTTTCCCTATTTATACCAAATTGATAAATTGAATATTACTCGTACTGTACGTAATTGTAGAATATGAAAGTGCACATGATTATCAGCCGTGTGGGTAAACCAAGTGAGATTTACGTAGCTCATTCGAATAACAATATTTATAACTATTATACGAAAATAAAAACTTCTTCCTCCTATTATTTATTAAAATCCGGATGACCGAGCCTTGTGGAAATTATATTTAAGTACGAATTACTAATAAAATGTTGAAATATGAATAATATTTTTCGATCTTACGGATAGAAAAAGTTAAGTTTATGTTTAAGTTGATTATCGATAAAACACGAATAAAATGGCATTTTCTAAAAATGTTTCCTAGCTAGATCGATTTATCGCCCCCGAAACCCCCTATATACTAAATTTTATGAAAATCGTTTGACCCGATTCCGAGATTCCAATTATATATATACATATATACAAGAATTGCTCATTTAAAGATAAAAGATTATTATTTTCCTATTTTACCAGATGTAGAAAATATCTTGTAGTTTTGATTAATCCCAGTAAATCTAACGTAAAAATCTTCACTTCCATTCAAGAGCCATGTTATTCTAAAAGAAATAAAAAGCAAAGCACTTGAATGGTAATAACCTCTCGAAGAAAACGAAGCAAATTTTCATAAATTGCATTGTTATTCTCGTTCAGACGATGGCGAGGGTCTGAGTTTAGCGAAACGAGCGTAGTTCTATAATACATAAATAAAATGTTTCTAAGAACATAATTTGTGTGGAAAACAGAAATTAGATAAGCAATATGTTCTTATTTAATGACTCTTTACCAGTCTACGTAATGATATTAGTAAATAATACATGCAGATTAAGAATAAAATTGAAAGTTGTGCATTGCATCAATGGAGACGCACTGCGTCGTATATTGATTTATGTTAATCAGGCGATATTTTAAAAATATTGGTGATAATTTTTAGAGAACATAGTGTAGATTTTTATATTCATCTCTTCTTTCTATTCCATTATATGATATAAAAGTTTAGGTACATATTGTTAGGAAGAAACTCCGACACAGACATGTGTATCGGCGCAACACTAGCTTTATTATAATGTCAACGTTTATGTCCCATCACTAATCATTCTGACACTTGACTAGGTTGGCGAAAACGCGCCATTCACGCTACAGGGTTCTAACTAATAATTTGTAAAAATATTTAGTTTATTTAATTTTCTAATTTTGGCTTTTCCTTTAAAAAATGTCTATGGAAAATTGTAGTTTCAATTTGGAGAGTTTTTAAAACTTGTTCTTTAAAATAAACATTAAGTTCTCTTTACAGTAATTGAACATACAATAAGCAATTTAAATAAGTTACGTAAAAGGTAACTTAATGTTACAATCTCGGGAGGCTTATAAAAGTTTGAGCAACTTAACGGAAGTGCTTTGTAAGTTGGCAAGTTGCAGGAGGCTGTAGCCACCCGCACGTTGTGTGACACGCGACCTGCCGTGTACAGCTTAAGTTCCGATAACTTTTATAACTTCGTATGGACGAGTATTCACTACTTTTATTTAAATAGTAAGCACAAAGAATTAGAAATACAAGAACATTGTTATTATACTTAGTTATAAGGACTCTTTGTCCGCAACTTCAGGACTATCGCGTATTTTGCGTGTGAGCAGGATCCCGATTTACTACAGCCAGCCCAACATCCAAGAAAATTAGACGCAATAAAACCTTTTCAAAAGATACCTATTTGCTTAACAATTCTGTCTTGTCAAAGTTAGCTCTTGATAAATTCAACATAGCATAAATGAAACAAGATATTTGGCTTAGACAAAGTAATCTAATATCTTATACAGTACATTTAAATCGTCGTGTCCAATTCAAACGAAACGACAGACAATATAAGGAAAATACGTCTTAATGCTTGTTCGTTTTATTTTATACTGTATAAAACTAAATTGGATATCATAACTATGCTTGCGTTGTTTCCTTAATATAAAAGGAAACGCGAATATTATTTTGATCCTGACATTTATAATTCTATGTTAATCATGTTACCAATTTTTGTGATAAGTTAATCTACACTAATATTATAAAGCGGAAGAGTTTGTTTGTTTAAATGCGCTAATCTCAGGAACTACTGATCCGATTTGAAAAATTCTTTTTTTGTTGGATAGTCCATTTATAGAAGAAGGCTTTAGGTTATATAACATTACGCTGCGACCAAAAGGAGCGAAGCGTCAGTGAGTACTAATTATGTTTTTAATACCGCGCAGATGGAGTCGCTGGCGACAGCTAGTACACAAATAAAGGGAAAGGTTGTGCGAGAAAAACGATAAAGGAATACAAATGTGGAGGAAGTGGTTATTGGAGATAACTTTCCGAAATAGATTATTGGATCATAACAAAGTAACTGAGGGCAGGCTGCGGCACCGCAACCGAATACTAAGTACCTAAGGGCGTGAGAATATATAATAATAATATTTATAATCATTTATATCACCCTGAAGTTTGAAGAAA